GTTAAATATTCGAGTTGATAAGTACGCCTCGGGGTAGTGGTGATAGTGGTGATGGTGGTGGTGGTGGTGGTGATGGTGGTGATAGTAGGAGAAGGATAGTGGTATGGGTACTCACTCGGTAATGGCGAAAGTTAGTCGAAGTCGAAATTTACGTAGCGAAATTTCGGACGTTCTCGTTCCTCTACCAATTTCGAACGAGGTGCGAGAAATAGAGAGGAGGAGAGAGAAGAACGAGAGAGAAAGAGAGAAAGAGAGAGAGAGAGAGAGAGAAAGAGAAGATAGTGAAAGAGAATTAAACGAAATATGTAGTTTGCCGAAATCCGATTGAAACAACAAAACCAAACATTATATTTCATTTATATTTCAATTATTATCCAAATTCTTTTCTTCGTTTGTTATCGTAACTTTTTCGTGATATAATGCATATAATCGGAAAAGAAATATATGAAGGAAAGTTTATCGGTATTTTCGCGAAAAAAATAAAATCACGAACTTGAAATAAACTCTGAGCACACTTGACATCATCAAGTAGAATTACTTTGTAACTCTTACTCTTTCTCTCAAACTCTCTTTCTCTCTCTCTCTCTCTCTCTCTCTCTCTCTCTCTCTCTCATTCTTTCTCACACAAAGATACAAATACTTTATATCGTGTAATATTTGTTAATAGCGATTTTCATCGAGCGAATGCATTTGTCCAACGATAGGAGAACGACATCGATCGGTATTTAATTACATTCCGATATGGTAATAATTAAAAACTCTCCTTTCGTTTATGTTTTTAACATGGAACAGGACTCCACGATAAATCGATAGAGATTATTTAAATCAGAATGTTTAAGGGTTCTTCGTTTAGAAGAGAAAAATCGTGTTTCCCTTGTGCATAAATTCGTTTTTCGAAAAATAATTACTAGATTTCATAATAATTTTGGTGGATATTCTTCGTTTGAATATTCTGTGTTTATATGCGTGTGTGTATATATATATATATATGTGTATATATATGTATGTATGTAGTTTGGAGAATCGTCTCTCAGGAAAACAATTCAAACTTGGATAGTTGGTTCTGTCCAAATAATGTACTACTTCGGCGAATCAACCAGCTCTAAGAGAATTTTCCTGAAACAGTTTCCAAAGAATTGGAAAAGAAGATAGTAAAGAGACAACGTTTGCGAAGTACGTTTGTGAATTTCTTCATTTGTGATGATTCTGAATGAATGTCTTCCGAAAAGGGAGAATATTCATTTTATCCAAGTGAAAACGATACTACCTTGGTAAAGATAGGGTAAGAGGTTGATATCTAGAAAATAACAAGTTATTTGCCGTATATTTTAAGTTATATGCTACATGAGCATTCATCTTTATGTATTGGATTATGTAAATGAGAATCACAGGATTCCGTGAGTTTTTCTTTATATATCATCTCCTCACAAATATTTTCTGGATTCTATTGATGTATTTATATATGTATGTATGTATGTCGTTTGATTTTTACGATGTTTTTCATCTTTTTATTAACACTCAAATGAGCTTTCATTGATATCTCGTGATCAATCCAACTTTTTCTTTTTACTTTTTTTTTTTTCCTCTTCATCTCTTATTCTTCTCTGCTATGGTATTTGTCTACGCTAAGTATAACATCAATTTGTAAATATGTAAGGGAGAAAATTTTCATAAGTCGCGTACATCATGTTGGCTCGTTTTGTTACTGTTGTAAAGGATTATACGAGACGTATGCACGTCTTGTAACACGGAAAGATCATGTTTCTCTTATGCTCACTGTTTTATTCTCAAAAGGAACGAAGAGGATGACGTTGCTTACTTGCTAGAGAAAGAGAAGTGCAAGGAACTTGCGACTAAGTGGAAGAGAAGCGCTCGGTGGACTTGTTGCTTTAAAAGGTTCATCTCGAAAACGACAACTACTACGACATATAAGAAGAAGAAGAAGAAGAAGAAGAAGAAGAAGAAGAAGAAGAAGAAGAAGTAGAAGTGGTAGACTAGGAAACGTGCGATCTTGAAATCTTGCCCTTTGGAAGGTCTCGCAATTTTCATAGGTTTGCTCTCTCTTTCTCTCTCTCTGTCTCTCTCAGATTTCTTTAATTACGGCTTTGAACCGTCACGAGGCCGTAGACGAACTCGAAAACATTTCGAAATTAAAACGTTTCTCGTGTTCGTACATCGATCATTTTCTAACGAACGAGATCAGTAAATATTTCATTTCTTGTCTTTCTGTCTCTATATCTTTTTCTCACTCTCTCTCTCTCTCTCTCTCTCTCTCTCTATTTCTCACTTTATTTCTGTGCTCGGAAATATTGCAAGCTCAATCCTGGAGATTCTTCAACGAATCTCGAAATTCTTTTCGAGAAGATGAGAAACGAGTTCAGATATCGAAGCTGTGATTCTCTTCCTATCTCTTTTTCCTTTTTCTCACGGATATTCTTTCTTTCTCTCTCTCTCTCTCTCTCTCTCTCTCTCTCTCTCTCTCTTTCTCTTCCCTCTCAGAAATCTTTACGAGCAAGTCGCGAGAAATGAAAAAAACTCTTTCGAGCCCACTTCCTTTCGTCATTCTACCTTTCCCTCGACAAAGTTCTCGTTTCAGTGATCTCGCCTCGTAAAGACGGACACGGTAATTAAATATTTCTGGTCGGGAATGAATATCACGAAACAGTGGCTTCTAACGTCAGTTAATTAGTCTTTTTGCTTGAAACATTCATCAGCTTTGAAGGAAGGAAGGAAGGATGGAAGGAGAGTAAAAAAAAATAAAACGTAAGGAAGAGAGGAAAGAGAAGAAAATCGATTTAGTAAGCGATTTCTCATCTTGTTTTTACTTTTTCTTTTTTTTTTCTTCTTTTTTTTTTCTTTTTTTTTTTTCATCTCCGAAAGTTTTTCAAAGTTTTCAAGGGAGGTAGTTTTAAATTTTTCACGAGTATTTCTTTTCTCCATAATTTTCATTAAACCTTTTAAATTATGCAGATATATATGTATATATACACGTATGCATGCCCACACACACATACACACATAGACACACACACACACACACACACACATATACACATGTACATATATACATACATACATACATACATATACACGTATACCAGCATGTATTTGAAATTCTTAGTTACGGGAAACTAGAGCGGATTACGGATTTTCCATGTAGACTATATACGATGGTAGAAACTAACTGAAGAAGAATGTATCGTAGTCTGGTAATCTTTGCATATAACGTTAGCGTCTCTATGGCGCCGGGATGAGACAGAAGAAAAGGGAGAAACTTCGAAGGTACGATTTAAGGAGTCAAACGTTGGCATATCCCTATACATATATATATATATATATATATATATATATATATATATATTCTACAGTTTCAGTTAGGTGGATTTATATGAAGCACGCGATAAGTTTACTTTTTCACGATATTTCCAACCAAGAATCGTGGATTAAAGCTGATGTACAATGATAGAGACACATATGTATGTTACTACGTAAGCATGTATTCAGGACATATATACGAGATAGACGTAGACGATCGTCGTTTAAAAAAGTGAGAGAGAGAGAGAGAGAGAGAGAGAGAGAGAGAGAGCGGTCGTTGCCATCATACTATCAGACTCGTCGAATAGAAAAGAACAAAAATAGAAACTATTATTCTTGGGACAATAGGCCCGACGAGCTTTTTACTCGTTATCGGTTTTCAACGAGTCCTCGCACTCGACTACTAGTAGTCTCGGTGAAATCATTCGTGTTTCTTCTTCGAATGCACTTTATCAACACCCTTACGAAATCCTTTCGAAATTTCAATCTTCAAATCTTGAGAAAGAAAAAGGCCAAGATGCTGATACGTTTACATAGATCTATATTTATGTATGTCTCTTTCTCTCTCTCTCTCTCTCTCTCTCTCTCTGTATGTGTGTGTATATGTGTGTATAACATAATAGTAGCAAGTGGAAGAGACGATCACAAAGAAAGAGTGCAATTTGCAATGACAAAGGGCGACTCTCGTCTGCTTCCTGATCCGATAACCTATTTGGCCGATATACACTGACGATAGATACACACACACAGACACACACATTCTCTCTCTCTCTCTCTCACGCACATCTATACGTTAAGAAAGCAGTCTCACAAACGCGATACGGAAGAAAGAAAGACACGCAAGGTTGTTCCAGACAGGAGAACCGGAAATTCGTATCTGACCCCCTTGCACCCCCTATTTCTTATATTTCTATCTCTCTCGCTAAACTTCCTTCCTTCTCTTCCTTCTCCTCTTTACCCCTACTCCTTCTCGTTTCGATTGCCCGAGAAACTGAGGGATCAAACAGCCAGGGGCTACTCTCGAGTAAATTCTACTATCTTTTACAGCGCTTTTTCTCTATGCTTTTTCTTCGCTCATCCTCCCTCCTTTCTCTCATCCTTTCTCTCTTTCTCTCTCTCTCTCTCTCTCTTTCTCTCTCTCTTCGTCTTTCCTTGTCTTTATTTCTTTTCTTCTTGATTTCTCTATTTCTTCGCCTTATTTTTTTCTCACTTCTCCATTAACTAACGTCTTTTATCTTTCAACCTCGTGAAACTTTCTTATTATCTGTATAAGAAATGCACGAGGCTTCAAAAGCGTCCAATTAAATTGCACTTTTTTTTATCTTTAAGAATAATGAAATGGAACGGAGATATAGAGAGAAAGAGATAGAGATAGAGATAGAGATAGAGAGAGAGAGAGAGAGAGAGAGAGAGAGAGAGAGAGAGAAAGTAGTGGACTCACCAATTTCTATTAATAAAACTATTTATTTTCACTATTATTGTTTTCTCTCTTTCTCCCTCGTTCTTTGTCTTTCTATTTCTTTATTTTTCTCTCAAATATATTTCTCCTTTTACCTATTTAATTTACTTAAGAAAAATTCTATTCTGCTTTGATTTTGCGCTCTCTCAAAATAATAAAATCCTAATGATCATTAGTATTTTCTTTTAGATTTAGATGATAAGGATCTCTATGACATTGTACTTACCCGTCGATTAGCGGAACATCCCTGAGTATCCTTCGAGCTGCTGCAAGCCGATCTCCAGCGTGAGCCGCGAGCAAGATCCTCGTCAGGAGCTGACCCAGAACCATCACGCCCACCACCATCCTCATCCTCCTCCTCGCTGGACCCACAGTCCGTCCTTATTAAAGTCCTCATGCCATCACCGTCGACCTACCAACTCTCTCTCTCCCTCTCTCTCTCCTCTCCTTCTTCTTCTATTACTTCTTCTTCTTTCGAGATACGTAAATAATCTTTATTATCCTTCTTCTTTCCTCGCACTATTTCTTCTTTTTTATTCTTTCTGTTTTCCAAAAAAAAAAAAAAAAAAAAAAAAAAAAGAAATAAGACAAAAGGAAAAAGCAAAAAAGATCACAAACTACGATATTATCCGTCGAAAAAAAACCCGATAGAAAAATGTTCCTTTTTTTCGTCACTCGTACTATTTAATCTTCTAACACTTGCTTCTTCCTTCTTCTACTTGTTGTTGTTGTTGTTGTTGTTGTTCTTCTTCTTCTTCTTCTTCTTTTCTGTCCTTTCTTTTTCTTTTTTTTTTTCCTTTTTTTTTTTTTTTATTAGTTCAAAGATAACAAGATTCAGAGATCAACGTTTGCCATTCTTCTCATGTCCTCTTTATCTCCGTGGCATTCGTCTTCGCACGTATCCAAAGCGTCGTCCTCGATTTCTCACTTCCAACACCCACAGGACCACTTTTTTCTATTTTTTTTTTTTTTTTTTTTTTCTTCTTCCTGGAGTCACGCTAGATCCGTCGATGTACTTTCTGTATCCTCTTCCCTTTCTTTCTATCCCTTTTTCCAATCCACCCTTAGAGGATTAACCTTAAAAAGTCATCCCTTTCGATTCGTTTCTTCTTTGTCGACGCCCGTTATCCTTTTTCTTTTCTTTTTTCTTCCTTCCTTCCTTTCCTCTCTTCCTTCCTTCCTTCTCTTTCCTTTTCTATTTTTCTTACTTAACGTTCTGTCTCTTTCTCAGCTTTTCGAACTCTCCATCGAACTTTGCCTCGAGAGATTTATTTCGATACCGCGATCCAATATCTTCTTTTTCAAACCAAAGCACCGTTATCTCGCGGTCCACTTTTGAGGATTATTCTACTCTCTCACATATCCTACTCCATCTAGTTTTTATCTTTCCCGTTCCTCTTTATCCTTTTTCCGAATGCACAATTCGAAGATTCGAGGAGACTGAAAGGAATCTTTAATTTGCACCCTTTTATGGAATTTCAAAAAGAAGAAAAACATTCCATTGAAACGTATCGTATCTTATACTTTCCTTTCTCTCTATCTCTCACTTTTTCTATACATATGTATATAATACACACGCACATACACACAAAAAATACACACGCATATATATATGTGTGTGTGTATACATATATATATATATATATATATATATATGTGTGTGTATCGAAGAAAACGTTATTATTAGAAAAATTAAGGGAAGCTTAGAGTGGAAATAAAACGATCGATCAAGAACTGTCTCATTGTCAGTCAAATCGTTATACTCATTTTTCTTACTTCTTCGTTCCTTTTTTTTCTGTGTTTTTTTTTCTTTCTTCTTCTTTCTCTTTTCTTTCTTTCTTTTTTTTCTTTTTTCTTTTTTTTTTCTTTTTCTTTTTCTTTTTCTTTTTCTTTTATCTTCCTTGATTTATCGTTACGAACTAGTAATGCCGAGTAAAGAACAGTATCTTCTCGTGCTTTGGAAATCCACGAGAAAAATGATATTCTCTTTATTACTCTTCCTCTCTCTCGGAACGTGCTCGTTCTCTCGTTCCTCGTTTCTCTCGACGTGCTATTTTCCGCATCATCTTTGGTAGTCGGTGATCGTTAATCCGCAGGGAGATCGATCGGTAGTGCCGTTGGTATAAATTCGGTACTCGATTAAATTTCGCGATTAATTACACATACGAAGGCGAATGATGACACCGTCGATCGGTGACTTTTTCCGGGACGTCACCAAGTAATGGATCGTTTTTCCCTGTTAACAAAACGGTGAATTTATCCATAAATTTGACATTTCGAATATTTTGACGTTTCTATTGTTAATTCGAAAAGTTTTAATAATATCGAAAAAGAAAGGAAGGGAAAAGAGAGAAACGAAAAGAAAATAAAGAAAGTGACAAGAGGAAGTATATTTCTTCTTTCTTTTTTTTGGTTTCTCTCTTTTTTCTTTTTTTTTCCTTTTTTTTTTGGTTTCTTTTTTCACCCCTTTGAAAAAAAATTCGCGACCATTTCGTAAAACGATAATACGCCTTTCCCGGTGACTAATTAATAATTAGAGATATTATATTCTCGGCTCTCCTTTTTTTTTTCCTGGTTTATAATAAATTAAGAGAGAGAGAGAGAGAGATAGAGAGAGGGGGGAGAGAGAAAGACAGACAGATAGACAATGAATCAGCAGTTCGTAGCCAAGGCGAAAGTTTAATGTCACCCACGACTAATGAGTTAGCCTGTTCATAATTATCAATGGACGTGGGCCCGGTTCGAGCGTCTAGTTACCACCGTGATACACCGGTATTTATCTACGCGCCGATGATTAATTAGCGCTAACGACGTTAACGATCATTGGTGCCTCTCGATTCCCTCGAACGAACGAAGAGGCTTCACGGCGTCACCTCTCTCTCTCTCTCTCTCTATCTATCTATCTATCTATCTATCTATCTATCTATCTATCTCTATCTCTCTTTCCCTATCGTCGTTCATCCGTCACTTCGTTCATCTCTATCTTCCTAATTCGACGTTCTACCCCACTCCATGCCATTTTGAAGTTTGGTATTTTAAGCCAATGCTTGACAGCGGCCACTTTGCCGCGCGAAACACGTCGGCCCTTCGAACTGTCTCTCTTCGTCACCCATTGATGCTCGCTGGAAATTAATTTACCTTCGTTGCACATACCACGAATTTTCAACAAAATTTACAAATTCCAACGTTTTCGTTAAGCCCTCGCGGATTGAATTCCTCGGGAGAAAAATCGTTGCGGTATGTTTTCTAAATGAATACAAATTTTCTCTCTTTCTCTCTCTCTCTCTCTCTCTCTCTCTCTTTCTGTTTCTATTTATCTATTTCTATACTTCTCTCTACGTTTTTCTTTCCCTAAAATAGATTACATTTCATTCCTTAATAGTTTGTCCGTCGAGAAAAAAAGTTTGTTACTTAACGACGGTGTCGTCGGGATGGCGAGAAGGTTTGGCGTGAAAGGGGTGTTGGATAGATCGCGTCCGTTTTAAAAAGCTTGAAAAAAGCTTTCGACGTAGTCGAAATACGACGGAAACGTAAAAGAGTAGCCAGTTTAGACGTAAGAGTTTGCCAAAGAACGGCGAACTTTCAGTCGGCAAAACTTTACGATTCATGGAAAACTTCTCGTGGAACGTCTTTGCGCGAACGAAGGAACCAAGTCCAACGTGCTAGTTAAGAAGGAAAGAGGGAAAGAGGGAAATTAAAAAAAAAAAAAAGGAAAAGAAAACTAAAGGAAACGGAACAAAGGAAAACAAAAACAAAAATGATCAAACAAATGGAGAAAAAGAGCAAAATTAAAAACACATGAGAGAGAGAGAGAGAGAGAGACACGAAGTTCCCTTTCCTCCCGTCTTTTTTTCCCCCCCTTCTTTACGTCCCTCTCTGCTCCTTGTATTTCTGCTCATATTTTTTTTTCTATTTGTTACATATATATATATATATATATATTTTTTTTTTTCCCTCTTTTCTTTCTTTCTTTTTTTTTTAATTTTCAACGAGGATATCAAAAATACTGCAAATATCTCGCACCTGTTTCACGTGTCTTTCTTGTTTTTTTTCTTTTTTTTTCTTTTCTTTTCTTTTCCCGAATTTATTACGAACGGTCCTATCGTCGATCTACTTGTGTTTTATCTCTCACGCAGCGCGTCGATCGACTCGTTCTACGCGGTTCGGAGTTGAAGACCCGACTGACGAAAACGTACGTAGAAACTCGGTACGAGCGAGGGCGCAAGCGCCTCCACTTCTCTCGCGACGATCTTCTTCTATTCCTCCTTCTCCTCCTTCTCTTCCTCCTCCTCCTCCTCTTCTTCCGGCCCGAACACTCTTTTCCTTATCCCCTCTTTCTCTCACTCTCTCTCTCTCTCTCTCTCTCTCTCTCTCTCTCTCTCTTTGCATATCTCTTTGTCTCTTTCTTTTGGTTTCTACCATACAGCATCCTTCTTCCTTGAATCGTCCAACCAAAACTCCTTTCCTTAGACACTCTACGTGTCCAAAGGGCACGTTGGCCCTTCGGTACGAAAGCAAGTCGAAAACTAGGAGTACCGTAGTTTTCCGTAGTTCTTTTTTTCTTTTGCTTTTTTCTTTCTTTTTGTTTTGTTTTGTTTTGTTTTGTTTTTTTTTCTTCTTCTTCTTTTTCTTTTTTGAAAGTACCACTAGCATAATTCAAGAGGAAAGGAAGAAGACCAAGTGAAGTGACTATCGTACTCTTTCAGTATCACAACGAGGAGTAAGGATTTTGATTATTTCTTTTTTTCTTTTCTTTTCTTTTCTTATGTTTTCGAAAAACAAAAAAGAAAAATAAAAACGCGTGATCGGTGATCTATGAACGATTATATTTCTCTGTCTACATATGTAGAATTTTTTCCTTTCTTATTATATATCATAACTATCGACGTGTTTTCGACATGTGAAAATTTGTGTGAGAAGTAGGACAAATTTGAAATTCTTAAGGATATTGTAGAATTTCCATGGGATACGTTCTTTCCTTTTCTTTTTTTTTATTATTTTTCATATTCTTTCCATATTGGGTTTGGGTTTTATAACGTCCGCAAAGCCAGTCGGATGTTCGGTTCAAGCTCTCCGACAGCGGCGCGTAGGAGGAAACCGAAACTTTCTTGAAGGCGAGCAATCAGAAGTTTGGAATTACGAGGATGACAGATTGAAAATTCGTGAAACGAGGCGAACGAAGACGTTTGTGCAGGACGGATCTAATTTTGCGTGTAGACCGACGATAAACTGATCTATTTTGGCTAAGATTTTTGTGAATAAGATAAGCTTTGGAATTTTTCTTTTCGTTTATTAAAATTATTCCTCGTTTGATTTTGATCATATTTTCGCATCTACCTTATAACTTTTATCATCTTTATCTTTTCTTATTGTTTTCTTTCTATTTTTATTTATTTATTTATTTTTTTTTTCTTTTTTTTTTTATTTTCTTTTTATTTTTATCGAACAATCGATCGAGAAAGCACAAAGTAGAATTCAAGGAGTGCCTCTAACGAGAATTTTCTATCTAATCTAATTGACGTGATTTCATTAATCGATTTCTTTACCTTTTCCTT